TGACGCGCTTCCTTCGGGAACGCTTAATGGTTGGTGCCGAGACCAACAACGGATGGCCCACAGAGAATGAGATCAATGTCTTGGCGGTTTCCATCTTCTGGTTGATGTCCTGCTCAGGTTAGTATTCACCCACAGTCTTCATTACCTGCATCCGTGATTATCATGCCTCCGCAGAGTCTATACGCGATGAAACCGATGAACTCAGGAGAGAGTTCGTGCAACTGCTATCACCATACTCCTTTGCTGGGTTTCGAGTTCGTTCTCTATTAATTATGCTTATTATATTTTTATAACGCATTTTCCAGTATCCATGTTTCACTGGGCTGGAGTACGATTTCTGTCCTTTGGAAAATTCTCCCAAGACTGTTGTCACATCTGCTTATGGGGTATATTCTCCCATTCGTCCAGTTTCAACTACCATATGCTACTTTGGGCGGCCAGTATCGTTCAACCTTCCACCAGTTGCTCCATATGCTATTCTCGTTCACTTCTCTCGTTTGGAGACTCGCCCTCTTATGATCCCTTCACACCTACCAGAGACTCGAGCAGAGGCGATCGCGAACGGTATTTCAGGGCCTACAAAGGAGGACATAGTATACTTTAATACTCGTTGCAAGACTCACTTTCCGGGCACGATGTACGGCAACCGCTTCGACACTCTGCTTAAGAGCCGGCGACATGATCCTGATTGGACGCGTTCCATTCGTGATCCTCTCTATCGCTCCCCTTCTTCCTTACCTGGACAATATATCCCTGGCACGATTTCCGGTCGCTGGCAGGGATCTTTCATCGTTGAGTTTTGTACTTGTTCATCTCACACGTGGACTAATATGAATAGGCCCCATATTATGATGTATACAAGGATATGCTGTCATCTCCCTCTGCTCCGTCACCTTTTCCAACATTTGGCCGGTTCCCTCTTTATGTTACTTTCAGAGAGCTTTACTGTTATTCTCCGTCAATTCCCCTCCCCTTGGGAGGCAATCAAGGCGTATTTGAAAATGCATTTTTGCCAATCGGCTGTCGGTGGCATGAGACCGAGGCTAGTCTTGTCATTAGTTCCAGAGCAAAGGTTGACATCTTCAACAGGCAGGGATTGAATTTACTGGAAAAAACGCGTCGTTCAAGGCCTATTATTCTCCGCCGAGGCAAGAGCACCTCGAAATTGGCTTCGTCGGAGGCACTGCCGGCGAGTCAAAGCCAAGTGCGCATGGTGCTTTTGATGTCATCATCACAGGAGTGGTATGCGCCATAGAATCCTTCCTGTTTCATATATAATAATTCGTTCAACAGACAGAGGATCGATATGCATCTGCTTGGGGTGGCTACCGCTACATGGGACGGATACGACCCTCAGATGGTCTAATCGTTCTTCTCCGTGAACCAGTAAGGAAGGCTAGTCTGCTGTCTTTTCTACGCTCAAGCAGTATGTAGCTGGACCCTCAGATGGTTGAACTTGGGCGAGCGTTATTCAGAGGCTATAGTGCGTTAGGTCGATTCAAACAATTGTTGTGTAGTCGCTGACAAGGTCGCATTAGTTATCTCTTCTCGCAACTTTGTGGGTCGCTGGAGACGTGTGTCGAGCGGCGTTCATCCCCCTGAATGGGAGTCAATATTTAGTTTGTGCAAAGACATGTCATGGGAATAGCGTCAATGTGATCTGCGTTCTCCTTAATTGTGTACATCGCCATAATACCTATTAGTATAAAATACATGTTCTCACACCGAGTGTTTGGGTTAACTTCACCTGCTAAGGAAAAGACTGGCCGATGGCGGCCCGGCAGGACATACCGGTACTACACAACAACTCAACAACTACAGTGTTTTTTAAACAATCTACGCTCACTGCCACTGCGACCGACATAATGTCCACTCAAGCCATTGCGTTTGGCTGGCTCCCTCAGGAGGTGATGGAGAACATTGCTTTCTTCGCAGCAACAACGACAGATATAGGACCTCCCTCCGACCTGCTCCCTTTACTTCTAAGCTGCAGGAGCATATACCATGCTCTATCACTTGATGCAAATCTACATCTTTGCGCACGCATATTTGAGTATAAATTCGATCTCAGTGCTGCTGTTCGTCGTCTAGGCCAGCATATCGCTACGCCTGATGTCTTATCGAAGGAGTTGCGCAAGAGATTTGTTTACCTGAAGCGAATACGGGCGCGGACAGATTCTCGAATCTGTGCACCAGACATGTCGAATTCGCCGATGATCAGCGAGTTGCTTTGGCTCGCCTACCTAATGATGCTTGAAAACGACGGAAAGAATGTCAAGCAACTGAGGGAATACGCTGGAATGGAGCAATGGTTGATGGAGTATTGGTTCGATGATAAGGGTGCATCGTTCGCCTCGAAGGCGCTCTTGGAAGATGTGTGGCTGCTCGATAATGAGCACAATTCTCTGGCAATGTGGTTGTTTTGGTTGTTTCTCAGACCCGGTGCGTCGTATGGGTTATCTCCACCGCTGTACTTCTGTTTAACCCTCATTCACAGATCGTTTCCAGCGTACTGAAAGGAACTATCGGACTTTCGCAACCGTTTTGAAACCGACTGCTTTAGCAGCCAACAAGGTATATCCTTATTTCTACCTCCATGCACCTGCTGATAATCCAAGTATAATATATGCCACACCCCATGGGAGGACTTCATCCCCAGGTCCTGCCTGCTTGAGCCTACGTGCATAAATCACTATTCTAATCCATACCAACTAACTCCACCGACGATGGCTATTCCTGCAATCCTCTCTTACTTCAGCTTGGTGGGTCCACTTGTAGGTCCAGCAAGGGCTGTCCACAAAGGACTACACACACCAAACAGCTTTCCATCCTCTCTGAATCAGAGTCTTGAATGGGAAGCTGACTGGCAGAGGTGCATAAATCTTGCTAAAAGCCCTCTCGCTAGCCAATTCTCAGGTGCATATAAAGTGGGCAGCCTACAAGGTGTGTGGGAAGGTGTCTTTACGGTATGTCGATTCATATCACAAGCCTGAAACCCTCCGATTAAACAAGGTATCTTTAGTACACGGAATTCACTACCTATGCCGCGCTCCTGTCTGGACGCCCCCCTTCGATCCTCCATAATTCTATGGTGGCGCAGCACCGTCAAACATGGAAGTTGCGAGAGTATTACTTAACTGTTTCGAGGGGCGCTGATAGCATTGCTGGCGACCTAGAATCACCACCGCTGAGCTCGGGTGATCCGCTCAAGGCATTTTTTCCATCTGGCATCCGTATTCACGAGCACGCAGGCAGTGCAGAGGTGCACGAGCCTGGGAAAATGGTTCCACTTTCTTACAGGCAGCCATCGGCTTGTGGCGTGGAAGCCGAGGGCCTCTATATTCAAGATATTATTGTCGTAGGAGAGGTCATTAATCATTTACTTATCTTTCAACTGTTCTCATTTTTTTTGACAGGGTCATTCTGCTTGGGGTCAATTCAATCTCATTGGTAGGGTACGACCTTGCGACGGGTTTGTTAGTTTTTTGAAAGAATATGTATGTCTACTCAATTCATATAATGTATCGTGCATGAACTCGTCTGTTTATTAGGTCGAAGGCGATCGAGGACAATGGCTTTATCGGGGTTATCTGGTCGGTAGCATCAATGGGAGCCTCTCCGGACGCTGGCGAGATACACTCAGTCTCCCCGATGCCAATGGTTATGAGGGTTGTTTTGTGATGAGTAGGCGGAGATGATGGAATCATCATATACTGATATCTAGATATAAATTTAGTTTACCAGCATTCTTACATTCTTCCAGGTTTAGGCGAAACCAGAGCGCGTGCATCTCACCTGGACTAGTCTTACGACAAGGTTTGCCGGTCTGTGCAGGATTAGTCCGACTGTTGAGTGACAGAACGAAGATCTTGAGTGAAATGGAAGGAAGGAGTCTGATTCATGATTATGGGCGAGTAGGTAAAATATGATGTCTACGCTGATGTCTATAGCGTTAGTTAAATAGATCATAAAGGATACAGACTGAGGGATGTGGCAGATAATACAGGCAAGTGGTTGGGGTCTAGGAGGATGATGGAATTATTCGTGGATGTCTTGTCAAAGGCCATATGTCAACGTGCATTTAGTTATCAAGGATTCGCACTCACTGGTTAGATCCGAGACTTGGGCGGTATGCTACACAGAAAGTTAGACAATATTGCTGGCAAAATTAGGGACCTGAAATAGAGTAAGAATAAATAGAATGAATCAAACCGTCACGCATATATCGAGTAGCGTGTTCCCGATGACATCATATCACCAGATTAAGATGTTAGCCATCGTGCGTGGCTAATAGGAGCTTGTGCCTGGTGATTGTCAGCTACGATGATGAAGTGTCCCCACTTGCATAAATCGACTATATGAATAATAATTAAAAATACAACAACATAATCAGGGAAGACGTACTTAGCGGCCGCGGCATTTGACGCAAGGCAAGCTAAATTTCGCATCCTCCGATACTCGAGGGGATGGACAAGGTCGTCCGCTCATGCCCTTAGAGCAAGGCTCAAGTACATAGAATCGTACCTGGTGGAGTGAACAGAAGTAGGCTTGAGAGATGCACATCGTTAATACTTTTGCGAGGAGTGATGGAGTGCTACTGTCGACTCACCGCGCATTTTAAAGTAGAGACGAGTGTCGACTCTTGAGACAAATATCTCTTATGGGACGAAGTAAAACTGGTGGTAGTATGGACTCACCAGGGCAGTGAAGTTAAGTAACGAGCTTCGGTGACGTCGGCTCGTCAAGATTCCTAGGGAAAAACAGGACAAGACATTCAACTAGGCTTGTATACAGGTTGTGCTGGATCGCGCCCATTCAATGGGATAGATCGACTTCATGAGCAAAGCCAACCATAGACAGTCCAAGCGAAAATCATTTCGCTTGGACTGTCTTAGTCTCACTTGAATATGCAGCCTGTATTGAAGATCGTCTCGAAGGAGAACCAAACGTAATATTTGAAGTAGAAGTACTGCCACGTGCTTCATCCGACATCCGTTTGAGGAAACTCTAGTATTAACCATCATTATCGATTGGCACGATGAAACACAGCAAGAACGAACGTGTTTTGCCCTCTCAAAGTCACCGACATGGAGTACGCAAGTGTAGGTCCAACTATTACGCCACTATTTTTGCAGAACTGAGCCCCTCCCGTAGAAGGATCTCACCATCCGCAAACTCAGGCGCACAACCGATTTCGAAAATCTCACTTTCCGTATAGGCGGCTATACCGAACATGAGCTTGGGCGCTTCTACCATCTGTGGAGGAATGGCCAAGTCCTATGTATCCAAGCAGAACCTTATCGTCGTCCTGGCATTGACTATCTTCAATCACCCTCGACTCAGAACTTATGCTCATCTGACAAGGAGGCCTTTTATTACCTGCAAGAAGTGCTGCAGACGATGCTCGATAATCTGCAGTTTGGTACAGAGAACAATTGTGCACATCTTGTGAGGCAAAAGGTGAGAGTAACTGAAATCATCCTCCACTCATTATTCACAAACGATCCCCAAGGACAATACCTACAGCCTGATCTACACTAGAAAGGAGTTTGTTCGTTTGAAATGCCCGGTTTGGACGAAGAAGGTCAATTTGGATGATATAGAAATTACTCGCATTGTGGACTGCGCTTTATGGGAGGGAATTCACGAAGGTCATGTAGTGTAATGCCCTCTTGAACATGATTCTCATACCTCCTCGTACAGAAATGGAAGTCGACCTCTTCATGGGCGTACACGCACTTTGGTCTCAATTTGTTGCTGCAGAGAGTCTTGGGCATAAGCTCATGAACGAGGCTGGTGTCAGCCATTACACTTATAAACTACTCGCCCACGTTTACAAAAGTGGAATGATCATTGGTGTCATGTGTGAGCCCATTATTGGACGTAAGCTGAAGTTATACTTGATGCTGTTGTTCGCGCTCATTTCATACAGGGCGCGTGTGTCCTACCGATCGTGCCGCTGTTTTTGCAGCAGTAGCTGATATCCAGAGACACGGAATTCTATTGGGATCTCTCCTCCCTCACGATATCCTTATCACTGAGGAAGGTGTTCGCTTCCTGAATATCTCCGCTGTTCAATTTTACAAGGATCACGATAAGCTAGCGGCCGAGGCAGAGACATCTCACTGGGCTGAATTGGCGAATACCTTTGGGTCAGGAATGATAGCACCCCACACCCCACTTGGCTCTAGAGCACGTGACGCCCTATCCTACGTTATACCTCGCCTGCCTTCTCCTGGGCGTCCAGTTTACACCACTCCCGAGCTGGCCATGATGCGATTTGTTTGGTCGGTGATGACATCACCGGGAGAGTTTGCTCGTACAGACGTTCTGCCATTGCTCAAGTTCAGAGACTCGGAGCAGCAACGGAAGAAATCCGCCGTCACTCATGATCCAAAACACAGAAGACGTGCAAAGATTAGTCACAAAGTACTAATCGCACCTCTTGATTATTCGGAATCGGAAAACCGCTTTGAAGAACTTGACCAAATCGTCCCTACTGATGATGAACCCTACAATCCAAAGTGGCGTTCTTCACAACACACCCCGTATGAGCGCCCGAAGAAGAAGCTCCTTCTCCCACCAAGGGATGATGAATGATCCATGAGTTTCAACTCACAGAACGCATGTCGGTGGATCAATCCACGCTCAATCTGGAGGGTCTAGATCCACAGGTCATATTCACCTTATATTTAATCTCAAGGAAATTATTTAATCCGTTCGTACTTTGCTGCTATCTAAGCTAGCAGCTATGGGATGAAGCGTTAATTGGACCGCTATTCGTGTCAGTGATGTCGCGAGGTAGTGGGCATTGCGGAGATAATCTCGATGGGTCTTGAATCTTGATTGTGTGTTTGTCGAGCCCTGTACATATGTCTTAATTACAGTGTACAAGCTATCCCTGTTTATAGATTTTACCAGAGATGTTCAGGTGGTTATGCTATCATTTCACTCGCACGGTACGTCCCAGCTCGGGATGAACATCTGTCTTCAGGACTCAACATACGTACTGGCAGGTACTTTTGCAAACTCAGCGAGGGCCAATCGCTCGACATGAGGTTATTTTGATACTAGTAGTTTCTGATCCCTAGTTTACATAAATTGCAATTGCCAGGTTTCGGTGATGATGACCACAACAATTGTACAAGCATCGAGCAAGTATATTTGAGCACGCCACTGTCCTTTCACTGGATGGCCGGGACTACCACAGCGATCGACACCAGAATACAACTACACCTTAGAAGGAAGTCGCGTTTTTAACCAATCTTGTCAAAGTGTACAACAGTGGCACTGCGTCCATGGGCTTACGATAGCATGGTCCCGACATCACGATTTGCCTGCCAATCATTCAAATACTATATGTCCAAGTATTTATCTAACAACGTGGCCAGAAAGTTGTCAACCAGCAGCGCCCTTCGCTAAGAAGTCTAGGCTGTGTCATATCGGGTGTCGCAAAAACCAACATCCGACTCAGAGTCCGATGAGTACTATTGGCCGACTTCGAGAAACTTGGTGGGTATTGGCAGTGCAGTGGCGTGGCGCGACGATAGTATGCTAGATACAAGTCCAGGGAGTAACTGTTTCAAATGACCGCGGTGCTTGCCAACCAGCCTGCGCGAGTCAGTTGAATCAAACTTCGGGTTGAAGTGACTGTCGTAGCCCGTGTGACAAGTTACAACCGTATCATATAGAATGGGGTTGTTTGGTTTATCTTTAGACTCAAACAAACACTGATACTATCCACCGGTTGCCTTTCTAACCGTAACAACGACGGAAACGCGTCACGATCAAGAGTCACTGCCAGATTTTGACTGGAGTTGGAAGAAGTTATCTGTTCACTCTCCGGGTCCCCTTCTTTCATACTGCAGCAAACTATCATGTCCTCGTTTGTATTCTCGTGTTATCTACAGGCGGGAACTGATGAAATCCACAGTAAATACGACAGTATTACAGATGCTATCACCCCAACGTGTGCCACGATAAAGCGTACTCCATCACGCGCTAGTGTTTCGAGCACATATTCAACCCGGAAGCGAAGGCGGGTCTCCGTGGCTTCGCTTCACTTGGGACAAGATTTGGCAAGACCATTAGTACCGGAGACTCCAATCGAGGAGATAAACGTAAGAACCTTGCTTAGCCAACATATCATGCTACACAGAGGAGATTTAGGGAGACCGATTTGTGACAGTCCGAACTTCAACGTCATTCCCATTGAATATTACACCGAGAACAAATCGTATCGCCAAAGCATTTGGTCTACTCGATGACCGTGTATTAAGTCCTACCAACTCTCCCTCACTCTATTCAGACCGATGTTTTCGTTCATTGCTTCGCCGAAGTGCTTCAGAGTTGTTTTCAACTTCGCGTGCTGCATCTTTGCTCTCAGCAAAGGCCAATTTAGGGGCTCGGAACCATTTTGTACTAGCACTCGACGGACCTGGGATGTCTACGGACCTTTTCGCCTCTCCAATGGCATGGTCGCATGCCAACTGCATCGGGGTTGCTTTCAAATATGACGTGTATTTTCAGGACCTTGAATCCCGGGCAGTAGTCCACCTATGTCGTTCCTCACTTTCAGACGGGACAGTCCACAGTATTGATTGGGGTGGCAAAGCCAAACCTTATCTCCTCGCGCTTGGGACGACATTTGGTGATGTTAGAGTTATGGATGCCGAGAAAGGAATGCAGCTCGTAGATTGGGTCGATGATGGTCATGGCATGGGAGGCATGCACTGGAATGGTGATGTTCTTGCCGTTGGCAGAGCTGGCGGCAATGTGACTCTGTTCGATATCCGGATGCGGGCTGAGATAGCCAACATCATGGGCCATAAACGCCGAGTACACGGTGTAAAATGGTCGGTTGACGGACACCATCTGGCCACAGGGGATGACAGTGGTATTGTCCATATATGGGACCATAGAGCAAGTAATCTTCTAACGAATGGGGACAAAAATATCCGGATGAAACACAAAGGTCCGGTCAAGGTATGTAGCATAATGAGATTACCTTTCCGCCGCAGTCATCACATTTTTAAAGGCCTTATCATGGAGTCCATGGCAGCATGGCCTGTTGGCAAGTGGAGGGGGTTCCCCCGATGGTGCAATACACATTTGGAATACCGGAAAGATGGCCCCATCCTCTGGCCCTGTGCATACCATCCCCTTACAGACAACTATCACATCTTTGCACTGGTCCCTCCACTGCAAGGAGCTCTTGAGCACCCACGGATCTTCGTGGGCTGTACCCCAAATTAACGTACACCCGGCAGCTCATGCATCAGCCGTAGGTGTAGAAAACTCACTCGCCGTTCATTCTTACCCTTCCTGTCGACAAATTGTTAACGTCAAAGCACACTCCGCTCCTGTGGGCCACTCTTGTATGGCCCCTGACGGATGTTCTGTATTTACTGTCAGTCCCAAGGAGGAGACCATTAAGATGTTTAGGGTGTGGTCCGCGCCCGATGACAAGGACAAAAATGAAGGCAGTGACATGACCTTCAAGTCCACCATACGATAAGCATCAATATTTTCGATGCATGTACCACTACTACTGCTACCCACGTACTTATTCATTCACAGCACGCCACCCACATGCTTCTATATTTTTGCATGTATACCTGTGTTAATGATTTCCTTCTCTTCCTAAATCTGCTTGCATACTTATTTGGATACCTTGGACCCACCTGGCTGGTATCTTCATGTCATCATTGGTGTCCTTGCGCTCTGCCTCTGCTTGGACTGTCCATATGGTTCACCCTAGTACGTATGACGGATGTGGTAAGTGCGTCCTGAATTAAATTGTCCTTCTACAACAAATTCCTTTGAATGAATATCTGGTGATCATTTCACAGGATAAACTTAAGGCCTCGGGAAGCTACAATCAGCGGAGGAGCACAGCACGTTGCCAATCTATTGGGGGATCAAAGCCGCCACAATTTCGCTTTGACATGATCCATGGAAAGAACTTCATGTTGAACCTGTGGGCCAATCTTGAGCATTTATAAAAATCTGACCAATGTCGGTGCCTCAATCTCTCAGGGCGAACTGAGGGGTCATATGCATGAGACGAGAGCCTGGTTCAGATGATGAGGCAATACGTCGTCGTAGTTACGTCGTGGTTTCAACTGAAAATTCTACCTACCTTCCAACATCGGTCTTGCATGTATATCGATTTTCGAGAGTCCATGCTATACATAGATTGCCCTGTTATGCCTGAGGCTTAGTAGTCACATGACGTCTGAATCGGTTGGTGCTATCTTCAATTGTTCAGTGGGAGTTGAATTATAACTGAGTAATACTCATTCACTTCTTCCCGTTGCCCCCTACTTGTCTCGTTAAGGGAGAATCGACTTTCATTCCATATGGCACCTAGTATCGTACTAGTAGCACCTGGAGGTCAGCTACAAAATCAGACACCCTTATTTCCCAACGCTAATCTCGCTTCTCCAAACAGAACCTCGCGAAGGCAATAAGCCACAGCCATTGGGAAATTTTGTCCTGATATTCCTCTTCACCACTTCCACGTTGTGCTTGCTTTACTTGCTTTGGCGTCGCGCAAGTACTCTGCGTGCAGTAGTATCCCACCAGTGCGATCATTTAGTTGAGTTTGTGCTACATAATTTGGACTTATACAAACACAGACTACAAACGTGGACAAGGCCAGAAGGTCAAATTCGCCTCTCCGAGGACGACGGTCCATCTGCTACCGAGTTTCTGACTGATGGGGACGACGAAGATGTCGGAATAGTAGATGATGGTGTGATCCTGGGTCAGGGTGAAGAACGACCGAGGAATGAAGTCATCACTCTACCTTCTGTCAGACCTGACTCCTCATCGTAAAACATATATTTCATCATTTGTTTTGCCATGACCTGCCGCTTGATTCTATTCCTGGGGACGGTAATGCATGACCGCTATTTTCACACTGGGTTATCTGACCTTCTCTATCGTCTCAGAGTATCTCGTTGTTCTAACTTCAACACCATGCCTTGCTGTTTAGATTCCATTATGTTCGCGAGCTAGCGGTCCTAGTTTTACTATTGACTTGTACGACAGGCTCCATGTTTTGACATCTCCCTGATCTGATGTTCAGTGGTCACTCCTTGTCAGGTCTTATCTCAGCAAAGACACAGTGTCCATACAGGTCTCTGGGCATAAAATCTCTCGAATGGTCAATTCTCGTCATGCGCACCCTGGCGTCTTGTTCCTGTCACGAGAACATGCACATTGCGCTTGCTTTTTCGTGTCTTATGATGGCACACTGGATATTTCAAGCTATTCTATGGCCTACCGCCTTCATAGATAACGCCCATATCCTCTGACTCTTCCTCCGCGTTGTTATCTTTTCTTCCAGTCACAAATGGTGTAGCCGCACTGATATACTTTCGGACGATTGGCTTGGCGTGCGCTTGCTGTCACTAACTTTGCGGCGGATATCGAAAGAGTTACCTAGGCATAAGGCGCGGTACGTCTACTCCTAGTATTTGCTATATTTTGTGGCTAACGCGAACGCCTAGAGCAGCACCTTTGCTGCTGATGACACCCTGACTCAGTACTTTGCGCCAGTACCATGTTAATATACATAACATTGTTATGGGCACGAAGTGAGTGGTCTGATGGGGGTTATGCATAAACACTCACAATTCTCATTTCTAAGTCGCAGGGAACTTTTCATGCGAACTACTCCAGTCCAGGTCTGTCAAATTGTTCAGAATGCAGTTCATACAGGGCCCAATCCATAATTCAAAGTTGAACGGGAGTCTGGTTCAGGTCTTCGGGACTGCAAACGACACATTTATAACTTCCGAGTCATTCTATTTCAAACCATATACACATTTAAATTGGCCCGGTGTCTATGCGAATTCAGTCACCAATGATGTGGTCTTACGAAGTCCTCTAAGACCAAAGACAGATTCTACCGAACATCTTTGGTGGAAATGGCATTGCTGCATCCCTTGATTTTGGTGTCTGTGTTGGTCCTTGAACATCAAGAGATGTACGAGACACTCGTGTACTATTAAGTTGGTTTGCAAGTTTCAGACGACGTCGCGTTGCCGCGAATAGATGACAAGTGAGTCAATGTTGCGTTTCGAAATTTTGGACATGTTCGCTGAAGGTCTGCGTTCCAGTACTATTCAGCATTAATCTCATACTTTCGCAGTATGATTATGTTATTTCTTTCCACTGTCTCTCTCTCATGAGTCCCCGACTTCCATATACATCAGGTTACAGTAATTTTTTTGTTTCCATTAACCACTCACCATTCAATAGAAATCTTGAATTCAATCTAAATTGACAACTCTGTCATCTCTCTGCAGACCGAACACACATCGTTTGTGGTAAATGCAAGCACCTAAATACCCAATAACTTCGATTGCCTTGCTTCCAACTGGGCGCAGCCAGTTCAAACACCCTGGGGAGGCCTGGTGACGACATGAATGATTGTGCTCATTTGTCTACCCCCAAGCGAGGTACGGGTATAGGGTTAGAATAAGGACATCGTGCAGCGGCTGTGCAGCATGTGGCTTCTTTTCTCCGCCTAATCACCACAGTGCCAGACTCCAGCAAGCTCTAACCTCCTGTCTGCAGCCTGCCACATTTTCGTATTTTCTTTTCCCCACCCACCGCTCCCTTTCTTGCACAGCCTATTACCTTACGATTTTCTACTATACTCATACGCAAGTCACTTGGCTACATAGTCACATCTACTAGATACTGTGACTGGGGCCCCGGGTGTCTATCCGACCTGCCAAGTTTGTGGCAGTGTGGGCGGGCAGCTCACTTTTGCACAGGTCGGAACCGCCGTGTTACCCTTTCGGAATTTCCACCTGATCTGCCTGCAATCAAGCAAACATTTTGTTTCTCACTACTTACACAACTGCACAAGAGTGCCCACAGACTTGTCAACTGACTGGATATTTCCATGACAAATCAATCGATTACCACGAACCGGCGCGGCAACCGAAACTATGACAATTAAGGAAATGCCGTCGGCAGAGTTTCGACCACATGGCCGCCAACAGACAAACTTTTGGCGTGCCTAGTACCTACGGTTTGGTCCTGGCCAGCTGCGGGCTGCGGTTGGACCGATAACATACAGGTGCCTCATTCATGGCTAGACAGCGTGTCGATTGGAGATGTGAGTCCTGCAGCACCTTGCCTGCTGCGTGTTCGCATAGTGGTCATTGACTTCTAAGAACGCACTATTGCGTAAATGCTAGGGTTGCTCGACCTTCGCATCTACTAGTACAGTCGGACACTGGAAATTACGCTTCTCCAGTGAAGGAGGACTACTGAATTTGGTGCATTGCGGACAAACGCATATCCCCGTTAGTACATGATGGACTCGTCTCATCTCCATGGATGCTAGAGCGGGCCGAGCGCATCTCATCATTGGTGGTGGCCTACTCAATTTGGGGGTCCTTTGGCCAACGAGATATACAGTCCGGAGTATGAGTTGTACTCTACAATCATCGAAATAAGCAAGGGTTCTAATATCTAATACACTATTAGTCTCCGAATCTGCAACTTGCCGGGCAACTCGAAATCGAATACCTTCTGCGAAGCACCCCGCTTGACGTCATCAAGACCCAAGCCTACACGACATCCCACCTATAGTCACCGCTACTATATCACTACCACTCATAAACACTTACCATCCACTTGCTACCGTCCCTTAGGCTCGTTATATGCGTCAACCTTCTTGAGGTGCGCAGCCCCAGCGGCCTGGCAGGACAGGCACACTGAGTAGCAATTATTTCCTCTCCTCTCAGAGTATCGCTAAATGGAGAGCCTGAGATTGAAAACATGATAGCATTAGGCTAGTACTATATTTATGTAACTGTGCTACTCTAAGCGCCGAAGTGCAAAGTTTTGGACGAGGCCGCCGCAGCATCCAGTGGCATGCAATTCCTTCGCATCGGTTACCATACACTTTCACGTTTCTGCAGGCGCAGCTTTGCGGTTGACAGGCCTCTTGTAGTATCATGACCTTACGTGACCCGTATTTGTCGCTGTAGGGTGCCGCAGTGCCGACGGAGTGAGTATATATGAAGTAATCAATGTCATAATAACCCGTACGTACATAGCCGCTAAGCTGGCAAGATACTCAAACACTTTCTTCCTGCTGATCCTTGATGGTCGTTTGAGTGTTCCGGGTTCGCCCTTCTTCGTAAGACGATCATGTTCTCCAGTTTCTCCTCCTTCCTATCATCCATTCCACAACCGAGTCAGGAGCAACGCTCACATCAGTCATTATCAACTCCAAATAATGTCACTCCAACCAATGACGCTCCAGAGCCAGATGTTGATTCTCAGCCACTGGATTACACTGCTAGTGATTCCAAGGCGAAGAAAAAAGACAAGAGGGAGAAACTTGTAAATGAGGCGCGTCTCATACTGTTCTGGTCGAATCTGAAGGGCTCAACAATATGTCGTTCAGACATTCATTGTTGTGCGACCTCCACCGAGTAAATCAAATCACCCGCTCAATCTCCAGGTTCAACTTGTACCCCCGCAATCTCGTCATGATCGACCCCATGCGACTGTCCAGGCGCTCGACCAGTCAACCCCAGATACAGTTGACACCACTTCTGATTCCATTGATCTTCGAAGAACTCCTTCCGGCCAGTCAGAGACGTCTACGTTTTCAGCTTACACCTCTGCAACCTCTATATCATCATATAATTCGTCGTCAACTGCGAGTTCGGGACGTCGCATGATCATTCCACTTTACAATCTTCAAGCTCATAACGTCATGACCAATGTTATAGTTGATGCTGGCACTGATGCCAAAGTGGCTAAATTCGCCAAGAGAGGTTTGGAAATTCTTGGTCTGGCTATCCTCGAACCCATCGAAGTCTGGGGCACTGTTCCGTTGCCAGGTACTTTACTACCAAGCAGCAGCGCGCGCACTAGCATTGATGATCCCAAACGAGAACTAGGTTTGTTCCCTCGATCACCTACCCACTCTTCGAACAGCAGGCCTGTTACGCCCGAAATTTGCACCACTCTCCTTCCGCCTTCTTCGCACACGGATATTCTTCGTAAACCCAGCTTTACCTTCATTCCCACTACCACAGACGAAACCATAACAAGCAACGCACAGCCCCAGCGCGGAGGCGCTAAAAAGTTGTTTACCAAGATGTTCAAGAAAAGAGACACGTCTTCACGAACGCTCCCATTAGTGACGCCGACGGTCGATTTGCAGGGTTTGCCGAGCATAACTTGTGTCCCGTCTCGCCGATCGCATGACATACACCTGTCGAGTCCTCAAGTTGTGGATGTACCTCGTTTTAATGATAACCCCCCACGCACTTCATTGTCAGGAATGTCATCCACTGTCACACTCTGTCCTCCTGTCCTCGGTATCCAGGCTTCCCTTTATCCATCAATATCTCCACTCAAAGGCCGACCCACTAAGTATGTTTGGGTTGTCCGTAAATGGCTGAAGGGCACAGACACAGGCCTTTTGAATGGAATGATGGGCAAATTGAGCGTAAATGGGCGCGGGGATCTCGCTGGAGCTAGCGCTCCGCAGGTGGAGGTGCGTTTTGAGTGGTCACGAGGGCTGAAAAAGGAAAAGGAGCGGGGTAGGAAGTCCCGTACTGATAGGAGATTACCGACGCAAGGCCCCGAGAATGGGAGCGTTAGCCGCCGCGGAAGCGCGGTTGTGGCATCCGAGCCTCTGTTGATGAGGTCGGTTCACAAATCGCCATCTCGTTTGTGTGACCCCCCATCGGCCCTCGATACTTTACCAACAAGCCATAGTCAGTCAAGGTCCTCGCACCACAGTACCAGTTCAGATGGTAGCAATAGCATCGGAAGTAGCGCTCACCGCGCGGACGATTCCGGTGACGACAGTGAAGCGGAGGATTCAGAGACGCCTTGGACGTGTACTCTCACGGTGCAACGCACAGGTCATCCGCCACTGATGCACAGTTCTGCACAACAGCAAGACCATGTCGTTCGACTGAAAGTTGCCACACTTAAGCCGACCCCACACCATCCCCAAGTCGTCGGACTCCTGAAAGTCCCCTTTCCGTTGCCAGACATAGATGTTGAGCGCCTTGCGGTGCACCGTCGTATGGTTGCTGCGCAGAGCATTATCCGAACTGCCTCTAATTCGGGCGAGTTAACGCTTACCGCTGAGGAGATCAAGGATTCGATTTCATCCACCGCTTTATGGCTTGTCGTGCGAGAAGCGTTCGGGGGCGTTGGCCGAGAGCGCAGAAAGGGCGACGGGTGGCGAATCAGAGCCTGATCGCTCCCGGCGCAAAATAATGTCCGTCTACTGCATTCTAGTCTGTGACATATCTCCTCCGACACCGAGCCATTCCTACCTTATCTATCTTGCAATCTATCCTCCCCCCTCACAAGGCATGAATCTATCTTCCTGGTTTTTTTTCGTTTAGCAAGTAGGTACATCGTGCTAATGTATTTATCTCGAACGCCCCTTTACTGCTTGGTCGCGTTTAACTCATCCTCATCTTCACCTGTCATCTTTTCATCACTCATATGATACACTGAAGTCATTACAGTTTTGTACATACTAATGATCTGATTATATTATCTGATATGTACTCAGCATTGTACCTGATCGCAATCATACATCTCGTTTCATGAATCGTATGCAGGCAATTCATGATTGGTCGCGTGATATTCTAGTCATATTGGCAGCAACAGACCAGGGTCTCACGACTCACGAGATGATCTGAGATGATGCGTTCCGACGGATAAGGGATCCCCTCGGTCGTCGAGGCGAGCAACATGCATAGCCTTGAGACTCATAATTCCGACATTAATTTAACATTCCCATCTTTGAACCCTTTCGAACTGAACCTCTGATGTAGATGCTGGGAAGAGAAAACGAAATCTTTCCCGCTCTAGACGGACGGACTATGTTCCGCAGTAAGCAGCGCCTGTGAAAGAATGTTTTTAAAACAATACTTTTTTGTGTTATTCACTAGGGCTGCACCCTAGGATAAATCGCATGCAATCGCGTGCAATGAGTACATTGCCTGTAGTATGTATTGGGCCGATCCCGCGGCGAGCACTCCATATACTTGCCCCGCATATTACAAAAGCGGGCGATCCCGTTGTCAATGTGTTTATCAGATTGACGCGTGGATCAGATGAATCACGATCATACCGCGGACCAGCGGGGCCGAAATCATTGCCAGCGGCTTCAAGGCAACAAATGGCTTTTTTATTGGTTCGCATGCGTCGATGGTCCAACGGAACAGATCGAGACGAGCACGCAATCACCTTTATATGGGAACGGATAAGCGCTGACTCGGAGTACCTAGTGCACCCTGTTTTTGCGAAGAATCGGACTCGGGCTACTAGGAGAGGGAGTCAAGGTGGATTAGTCCTCCACGGAAGGTTATAATTATCGGTGACAAAGTCAGCTTGAGTAACGATGCGTTAAGTCCAACGCTGGCAGGCGCTGGCCTTTAATAACACATAATGAGATCGCAACATGGTTTTGGCTTGGTTACACGCACGACACCGCACGACAGCGAAATAACGGACGATACCAGGCTATACCCTCAGGAGAACTGTGCAGTGGCTAGCCCTAATAGATTCTGCTCCGTGATGCGGCGTTTGGAGTTCATCAAGATCTTGGCCATCGGCGCATCAGAAATGCATCAAGTGTAGTATCATTCATTTCCCCGCACTTTTTGGGTTGAACGTAACCTTCTTGAAGCCCGATCCCCCTACCGTTGTGGATTGAGGTGCAGATAGGCCCACCAAATCTTGGATACGCTGTAGTTCGTAACTGGCACAACCCCTGACGGCCGCACCAGTGCCTCCGTAATCGGCATCTCCTGGAAGAGGAAATGCTAAACGGTTCATATACGTGTTGTCTTGTGATGAAAAGGCTTCCCAGAGAGATTTCGGTTCTATTTGTACCTTGATTACAGCTAATCAAAAGACGCGTATGCGGTAAAGAACTACCACTTACACTTCCAAACCTTCTGTTACTTTGCTCAGTTTGGGCGAGGAAAGCTGTGGCTTCATTTATCCAAGAGAGACGTATGCGGTATACTGGTCTAGCCATCGGTTCGGATGAAATTCCGAGTCGACCACGATGAAATCTTCCGCAGAATTTGATACATGGGGCGCCAACAGGCGTCCATAACACCAGATATTGATTCCCGGGTAGATATCATTAACGCCCAGTTGTCTTGAAGACTGAATAAGGAGACACTTTGAGAGATTTCATCACCGAGAACTCCTTTTGAAATGAAGATGACTCGGATACAGTTTCAACAAACATTATTGTGTGAGCAAACTGGTATTTCGGGGATAAGTTGAATGGTCGATGATACACTGGCAAGTTTCGCGATTAGTAGCCTGAATCGTGTAAGCCGAGAGTTGAATCGAGTAACATGTTGGCTGCACTGTGAAAGCTGAAGTCAGCAAGGTGACCTAGACCTCGTATTACGGCATGTCTAAGAGACGATCTTAGATCGGATTCTTCTATGTAACGGTATTCGACGAACTCGGCAGTTTCTTTAATATCGGGTATAGATACTAACCACAACCCTCTCCGTGGCCTGCAGGGATTCGGCGTGCTAGTGGAGAGCACCCTCGGCTTTCTGGCTTGATCGGTTTGATAGGCAGTCTACCTCCGGTTCATGACCTTTCGCCACTTGGTCCATTACCACTTGATTGGTTGATTGAAGCTTCGTAGAAACAGCCTGAAATAAGCACACACGTACGTCTTCTTGATCGTCTTGTTGGCACGTGGCATTTGGGGGCAGCTCATGATACCGCAGTCAGATCTTGGGCCTTCACCTATCTCTTCCCGATGTAGCGTATGAGTTTTCATACTAGCGCGAGATTTAAAATAACAACGCCGAAGCGGATTCTGGCTATACGGGCTGTACAGATGGATATACTTATTTACCCGACTTATACGAGGTTGGTTCTGCATTAAATTCTCTAGGGACATCATAAATTGCACCAGTCATTCCTGCTCTTCCTCTCCATCATTCCCCTTCTCTGCTTCTCGTAGACGTCGCTCTTCGTACAACGATAATACAGTTCTAATGTCTTCACACGTACGTGCACACAATTCGTATAGCAGCTCTCATCTGACCCTCCTCAGTCTACTAGTGGTCAATATAATTACAACCCTATGGATGACGACATGGTAGCCCCACGGGTCCCACGTAGGACAGCCATGGCTTGTCAATTTTGCAGAGGTTGTGCTTTTACAATATAAAGTACCGATACGCGTACTTACTGAGCACTTCTTTATCAAGGTCGCAAGCTAAAATGTGATGGAAGTCGACCTAGTTGTGGCAACTGCAACCGCCGGGGCTATCCCTGCGTCTATACCCCTGTGTATGACATCTATCTCATTCAAGGCAGAACTCCTTTAATCACTCTTTCCAGCGGTTCGGAACAGCAAAAATAGCCGCATTGCTATATACTTCTCGCAGGATGCGTTTATTCGCCTCGTGCAATTCTCGTTTTCGTGGCTATAACTTTCTTCGTCGCGGAACGTTCTTCCGGCCGATTCCGCTTCTTCAAATCGTACAATGAAAGAGCATCCCCGAAGGGGAAAGTTAGCATCTCTTTGACATGGACTTATCAGATATACATAGGCTACACCTACCTGAGTAATGTGCACGCAGCCTCCTGTTTATAGTATTTGATCAGGCATTTTGTAGATTTAAATTTACTTTTGGTTCTGTGTTACCCACTGACCGATTGAGTGGCTCCGTGTTTGCGTCGCCTTAAAAGCATTACTTATAAGCACGATCATCTCGGAAAAAAATTATCACGGCATCCATGATGGATAACCGCACTTCGTAATCTCGAGCGGGAAGGTCACCCAGGAGAATAAGTGACACGTTTAAACCACGACATCATACTGTTGGCCATTCATTTTCATGGTCACAGCGGCAGTGACGGCACCAATCAATGGAATAGATCCCGATAAGCCCGTCGATCGCAAGTTTGAATACTTACAGTTGTGTGCGAACGACAACCTGGTCGCAACCTGATGTCGTAGTCTGACGCCCCAATGTTTGGTGCATTGAGATAATCGCATGAAACGAAAAGCCGACACCGGGACATGTATAATGCACGGTCTTCCGGATCTCGCTCAGGATCTCGAGTACCTATATCCGGTTCCCCGTCCTGTGTCGTAAAGCATTGCAACTGCTGCCAATGAAGCATATAGCCTCAATTCCTTCAATGAAGTGCACCCGGGTCTGGTAATTTCATTTTGACTGGCTGGCTGTACTCTTCTACTTCATGTAATATTTTCGAGTGCCTTTCAAGTCGGGTATATTGATCGAAGCTACACTTTTGATAAAGCTTTACACTCAACTTATGGTTAACTGGACACTTGGTCAGGTTCGATGCACGGAACCGTTTCTGGCGCTACGTTTTGCCATCCGATAACGAGAGGAACAGGTTATCGGCACCGCGAAGGGTTCTGTTGAAATCCAGGGGTCAACTTCGAATTTGATGTATGAATCTTTGGCTGGCTCCTATAACACATCATGAATAGGGAACGAGCGTTTGAGGTGTCCGCGAGATCCCCGATCAAGTTGAAGGACTTCCTTTTCAAGCACGGACATGGTCATGCATGACTTTGCACAAAACCGTAGTAGTATTAGTATGAGACAGCAGTGCTGCACATGACAGCAATTTCCATACCATTTGAGGGCCCCGCGAGGATTTAGAAATATCTCTTAGTTTGAGATCCGCAACACTAGTTAGTTTCACTGCCAAGGCAAATCAGCCCTCCCTTTCTCGAATGTCTCTGCGTGCCATGCGACTAACCTATGTTTGGCTAACCTGACCCCGGACCAATATTTGATATGACCCCATACGAATGAAGAATGAGAAGGGCAGTACTTGCCGCCATGAAGCCTACGCCAACCATAGAAATACACGGATCGCGGGTGGAAACGTAAGTGAGTCATAAAGTTGTACCATCATGATTATTTCTGATGGAGTGCGGTGAGAACGGATCGTGGAAGCAGTAGCCACCCGAATACATCCAGCCAGTCCATAGATGTTCAATGTTCATTGACGGAGATAGATGTGCCTCCGAGCTCGCGAAGGTTCATGAAGAGGACCTTGTCACAAATGGGATATGAAGATAAGTCGTCAGACAAGCGAACCAAATGTGAAGTAGCCCAGTGAGATGGATTCAGGGTGGCCGCGTAGCCTGACTAAGGCAAAACTATTTGCTCAAGGACTAGTCGGAGTGGTTTCTCAGTCTAGCGAAAATGAATGGTGTGTGAAGGAAGTAGGTTTGCACTATGCACCGCACCCAAGCCGCACCCACATTTGACCAGACAAACGTGGCCGAGATTGTAGTGAAAGGCATGACGTAAGAACCTGAAGTCTTCCCAAGCGCGATGCTTCTCGGTTCAGATGATATCAATATGGACCTCCTTGCTGAACACCACCTGCAGGGAACTTCAGCTGTATTCTATATCCCAAACTTCATCTCTGAAGATGAGGAACAGTACTTACTACGGAAGGTGAGTTCTAGCTGGACCAGTTAGTTCCTTAGGCGGGCTCCTTAGCCAGTCGTCAGATAAAAGATTCCCCAAAGCAGAAATGGAAGATGTTGAACAATCGCAGGTTTGTCATGCACGCCACTATGGAGACGTGCGCAGCAATTCGGAGGCTAATTCGTTATCTTTATTTAGATTACAATTATGGGGCGAGTAGAGTCATCCGCTGCTGGTTGAGGTTCCTCACGCAGGCTCCTTCATTCCATACAGGGGGTGAAGTTCTCCAGAAGAACATCCTTTTTCGCCAGGAATTTCCGGCATTCTTGAATGATTTGTGAGTCGATTATCATGCTTCGCGTAGTCTGTCTCCATCATCTGATCTGAATCATCTGATAACAGTCCTGATGTTCTAGGACGTCTCAGACTCCTTGGGGCCTTCAACCAATCCCCACACAAAGGACCCAATCACGTTATATTGAACGAAGTGAGATCATTTCATCTCACGAATTATTTTCACACCTCTCATCGTCGTGAAAGTATCATCCAGGACAAGGCATCATGGTACGATCCGAAATATACTGTTTCAACATCGATGATTGATACCCAGTTTGAAGCCCCACGAAGACGGTCCCTCATATCACCCAGTCGTCGCAACTATTTCCTTAGGATCGCATACTATCTTCCACTACTATCAGTATAATAAGGATAAAGACAGTTTGAGTGTTGACCCTGGATCGACTCGGATGGGACGTAGCGTCAATCCAGCACCTTCATTGTCATTGTTTTTGGAGCCTCGCAGTGTTGTGGTTACGACTGGGGAACTTTACACAACACATCTGCATGGCATAGACGAGGTAGATGCCGACACATTCACCGGCGATGGTTTCCTGCTTCTTCCCAATGGATCGCACTCACAAATCGTCAATCGCCACATGATTAAAGACGAGACTGTCGCGAGAATGATTGAATCGGGAGGGACGGTCGAGAGGACGACTAGGTACAGTCTCACTTGCCGCGATGTCGAGAAAGTGGCAAGTGGGAGGGTAGCAGGAGTCGTCAATCGTACTTGACTATGGTAGCCTTTGGCCTAGAAGGACGACACCCCCACGTTCAAGTCCTTTGAGAGCCTTGAAGAATAACATTCTTACGTCACGACAGTTACGCTTGGACTTGATTTGGTCAAGGTGTTGAGCGAGGTATAGTATATCATTTGATCCCACAAGGCGCTTCCTTTCCTCTTCTCCACATAATGATCATATATGATAACGATAACCTACGTGGCTTCCTTTGGTGCTCACTCAGCAGCACTGAGCATCGCTCGGGCGGCACGTTGGATTACAGCAGCTAAAATTATGTCTGCCAGTGTAATCTCATGATTCTCGTCAGTGACAAGGAATTTGAACGAGCATTTTGCAAGCACACCGGCTTACCTGAGTTCCCATAATCAGTACAGGGCTCAGGGAATTTAGGGTGCCCGGCTGTGCGCGGGCGGCAGTCTGAACTACTTGGACGTTGTCGCATAAAAAAACCCTTCTGGATCTATTAAATTCCTATGTACAAAGACTAACATCTTCATCGTAGGCCTGCAATAACTGCAGAGCGGCTCAGTATCTGGATTGCGTTCAGTCAGTAGAACTCATCAAAATAGAACATAAAACAGAACTGACACATTTAGATTGGATCAGGAGCACCTCGGAGAGTGCTGTTAGGAGTCATCGGGTTTGATATAGGAACTCCGAGACGTTCTAGGAGTGCTGTAAAGCATTGTTTCGTCGAACAGCCTCTTGTACTAGCTGCTACGCAGAGTAGACTCCACAATCAAACGGTTTTCCGAGTATTAGCTTCTCCAAATAGCTTTACTCAGCCACGACCTATGTTCGTACTGCGCCACGCTCAGTCTTTGAAAATGAAAAGCTTACAACACATTGCTCACTAGCATGTCTTTCAAATCCGCAACTAACCCTGGCATGCATATTCCAGAAGTGAACAACATGCGGGGATTGTCAGGGACCGGTGTCAGTAGTTTGAATGCTTCGCGGATCAGAACCATCGCCTTCAGATGATTTGAGAACTTTGTCAACCGAGTCCAAGGAAAAGAGGGAAAAGGGTTACTTTCAATTTTAGATCTGAAGATGGCTATGTACGCTTAGAAACACTGATCGCAGTGAAAGAAAGGACGTACAATAACAATGTCTGAAACTGAACGTGGTCACTTTAATTTGTGGAACAAATTCTGGGGACTTTCAGAAGAGATGTGTCTCGCCCCTGTACATCTCACGTACTCCAGTCTTCTCCGGTTAAAAATGACACGCATGAGACACACGCCCAGTGACTGGTTGGTACGGTTAAGATTTGCAAATAGACTCGCCGAGGCTTGAACCGCCCGAGGTTGTATTCCTCGCAGATTCGGAGATTAACTAGTGATTGTAGCGCTGGCACTACATTAAAATAACATTAGCGTTCCTGATCATGGCGGAGTATATAGGAGCACATACCGTTATCATGCAACACATGTTGCCTCATTGTTTCCACACTTGGTGAATGGCAGGCACTGGCAGTGCTTGCTGATCAGTGTTAGGTACTGATATGCTCGATAATTCCTTGCTAGAATTGGGATGCACTGCCCAGACTAACGTCTCATTGTGATGATGGACAGAATTATCCACTAGTCTCCCGTGGTCAGACCATATAGACTCGGAGGAAGACAGTCGTTCTTTCTGTATCACCGCGCTAGCTGGAAAACGTTCATTCAGGGGTGCAAAGAACGACTGGAAAGATTCTAGGGACGGTCATCTTCCTTCTTTAAAGTCTGGGTCACAACGATGGAAGGAAGCTTGTCCTAACGCTTAAGTTTCGCCTATCAAAGTTTTGATGTCAAGTTATGAACATTGAACCTTCGCGCGGACGAGAAAGTTTAATGATGCTGCGAGATCAGAATGGGCAAACCCAGTATCCAAATTCTTACTTGCTTCGTACTGCTTCGGTACAAGGGACTTCATAGACTCTTGGCTATGTTTGATCGAAGCTCGAGGTGGATATCCGCCGGCACCGCTTTTGTCGCAAAGGATACTACTGCCTGGCTCGCGCATTAGCCTGAGAGTGTCAACGTTTAACCAAACGTTAACTGTATGTAAGTTGGTCTTGGTGCCACATCCTCAAATACATCAAGCTACTTGATCAGTTCCAGAATGCCCTATGAACTGCAGGAAATGATTGCCGCATCTCACAAGAAATTAATGATATAGTTTTGAGGACGTGACCGATCGATTTGAAGCGGCTTCGGAGCTTGAACATACACAGGTGTGCCCTCGAAATGCCGAGCGGACTATGAAATAGACCAATGTGACTAGATGATTCAGAACTGGTGGTACGTAATCGGTTTAACTGACGATTAGCTACGAACTTTAAACGCGTTCATCTTCTGACCAACTTCTAAGTAAGAGGCATCGAGTGTAACACTAGACAGTGTGTGTAACCACTACTCTTCCACAAACGTAGGTCAACGGATGGTTCAAAGTAACAAGATCTACATATAAGAGACACGATAATACACGAAATCAATACTGCAGCTTCCCAAAAGTCCCGCGTTCTCCGGCCCATCAGTACTTTTTACTTGAACTGCAACGCAAACATCAGCGAAAAGTCATGGAACACGATAGAAAGAAAACGATACTTACGTTCTTTCCATCTGCCCATTTCTTGCCATCGACTTCCAGATCCCATGCAAGTGCGCCCTCAAAGAAGGCTTTCTCCTCTTGGTTACCGAACACATCTAGTTTGGTGTAATTGTAGCTTTCAAAGTCTGGTGCGCAGTCTACGGCCGCCTTTGACTCTTGGCCCCTCAGGATGAGGACACCGGTGATAATAGACGCATTGGCCTGGCCAAGCACGCCCACCGATCCGAAGAGGTACTTGCGCGATGCCTCCAGGCGGTTGAAGAAGCCACCGATCTGGTTAGAGGACATGAAGACTTGCGTGAGTTCTTCATTGTATTTGAAGTCTACGCGCCAGACGGAGAAACCCTCCTTATCGAAGCTGCGAGTGCCTTAGTCAGCACGACCAGCGAAGGAGAGGTATGTGCTTACTTGGCGTAGAACCACTCCAGCGAACCATCAGCGCCGCGCGTATCTTTGTTGCTGTAGGCGCGTTTCCAGTCCTCAAGGTTGAACGTGCTCTTTGGGAGCAGTTCCAAGGGATTCTTCTCCTTGGGCTCCTCAGGAACAAGGTTGCCATCATCCTCCTCATCGTCCTCAGCAACTTTCTTTGGCTTCTCTTTCTTCTCTTTTGGTGCGGCCGGGGGTGCGGGCGCCTTCTCCTTTTTGGGAGGGACGTATTGCAGCGCCTTCTCGCTGTACTCAGTAGGACCGTAGATAGCTTCGAGTTTGGGCTGATGCACAATAGTCTCCAAGAAGCGAACAGTGTTGATAAGTTTGGCGCGTACAGCGGCATCTGCGGTGACGACAACGGCGCGCTGGAGAACAGAGGCAACAGCGATGTCAGCAAGAGTGATGCGGTCGCCAACGAGGAAGGTACGGGTGCTCAAATGAGCTTCGAGGGTGTTAAGGCTGCGCAATTGGTGCTCAGCCATGAAGGTGTGGATCTGTAGGGGGTCATTGAGTGCGAACAGTCCGGTGGCGAGGAACTAACTTACGCCTTTGCTGTAGGGGACGAAGTTGTTAAGCATCCCTGTAATTACATCGGTGAATGTGGCAATTTCTGATTCGGCAAAGTGAACCCATTGATCAACGGTTGCGACATCCTCTGGTGTTGAGCCGAGAAGGCCAGAGTTGGGAGCAAGCCCGGCAACTGTAATCAAACGTTAGTACATGCGTTTCAACCCCACAACAACAAACATGAAAGTGAGAACGGATAACACAATCAGAATTACATGAAGCTATCGACACAGAATTAAGACAGGGATAACTGTAGATCTTCTCATCCTTATGGTATCCTAGCTCAAGATCAACATGGAAAATGGTATGACTCACGATACCGCGCGATCGGGGCACCCTCCGTGAGGTTAAAGCCGTTTGCGCCCTCGAAAGCGGGGATCTTTCCATGAGGGAACTTGGCAAGAAACTCTGGCTTCTGGTTGTCCGAAAAGTGCTTGTACTCGGGGATCTCCAGCTCAAGACCTGCTAGTGCACAGACGCTCCTGATCTATGGGTTATTATGAGTCATATTAAAAAACGCGAAATGATACAAGTGCACTAATTACCGTCTTGGTCTGATACATGGTAGGGACACAATAGAGCTTGCCCACAGGTGCCATTTTGAAAACTTGGAGAATGTGGAAGATGGGGAGAAAGATGAGATGGCTGATTTGATTAGCGCACCTCCTGAAATTTTATCGGAGCACAACCAAAACACAGGTCAGATAATCGCAATGAGGTCCATCTGATCCCATTAGGGCAGGCTTTATCGATCAGAGATAGGGTGACTCCAGTTTCTTTCTAACACAACGTTAACGAGTCATCCTAGTACTAAATCGATATACCCCAGCATTCGATATCCTATGATCAGCTTCCCATTCAAAGAGCATTTCTAAGATCATGGCACTCGCCACATTTTTTGTAATCTGATTGGCTGAGACAAACTTGCTGACAGAGACAGTAATACTTTGGCAGCACGAGTCTTGAATTCAGCGCTCAGCTTCAAGCTTCAAGTTCGGATTGAAAGCTGAAAGGTCCTCTTGGAGAAGCGCTCTGACTATGTAGTGCCGATCCACTCCCAACCTGCCTTGGGTTTTGAGCAAGAAAAATTGCAAGTACACATGAAATGATATCTCCGACGTCCGTCTGCAATCGCGTTAACATTTTATATCGCGTCATAACACTTCGGATCCGTTGACAGATTCACCACTAGAAGTTTTTTCAATCCGAGTCTTCTGGCAGCATCAATTACTTGCGCCTAACTCTTTCTTGGACACTTCCTTAGCCTGGGGTAAGTTCTTAATTTCGCATCGTGCAACTTCTAGTGACCCTGGACTAGAACACGAGTTGACCCACGAGACTCTCGTGTTTGTCGGATGACATCAGATTCAGTGATCAATGTTATTGTGTGCATCGCACTAAGTAGTCCTAGTGCGCTTACGAACGTTGGACCCTCGAACTTGGTTCTAAGTGGCAAAACTAATGGTTCCCGACGGCTGCTTTGCTTTCCAATCTAGGTATCGAGTTGTCAAAGTGTTTGTGCATGCTGGATCTCTTGGTGACGCCAGTACTGTACAGGCGAATGAATATTACCTTCCGACGCGGTGAGGCCTCCAAGTATATCCGTAGTGACAGTTGGCATGGATAGTAATAACTTATAAGTACCATGTCCGTTATTGAATAAGGACAAGCCCGGTGATCGCTGCCAAGTGTGCCTCGGGTGCTGCAGTAGTTGTTGCAATATAATTCGAAACGAAATATCTGAGTAAACAGATCTGCCTCGCGCCCAGTTTCCCAAACCTGCTTGTCGCAATATAATTCGAGACGAAATATCTGAGTAAACGGATTTGCCTCGCGCCCAGTCTCCCAATTGAGCAGGTCTGGGAGTGAATGGCAAGTATTGGCGTCCCTGACACAGTCGACTGGGTCATGTTCCTGGTATATTACAGCCGTCGGCCACCGTGGACAAATCGATCCCACAGGCCAACCTAAATCGTTTTCTCCGGAAACTAGTTGGATAGCATGATCATATAGCATGAGATGTATTTGCGAATGTGAATCCACACAATTCATGGAGTTTGAGGTCACCGATGACGACAAAGCTCGGCGAATTATCGGAGAACTCTGGAGGCTTGAAACACCAAAGTACACCGACAAGTTCTTGGCCACCGAGTGCTGTCCTTGGAACTGCTGAATCAAAATTTTGGAGACCACTGGCAAAGTCCTCGGACCCCCTCATCCACAATGGGTATCGTCGACAATAAATATGACATTCATCTTGTGCAAGACCAGAGCGAATATATTTTCACCTGAAGAGATGACCTCACGGTGAGGTTCTTTCAATGGATGCATTAGGAAATAGATGACTTATTCCTCTAGAAGAATCTAACCTTCGTCCCCTTGGTGACTCCTGCCCTTGGTGGTGGTGGTGGTGAAATGGGGGAAGGAGGAAGAAGGCCACTTCTACACAATGCACCTCTCCGAGCTACGTCACTGTCGTCACCAAGAAGTGTTACATCATTGCACCACCACCGTGGGGTGAGTATGCACGTTCGCACGTTCAGCCAACCCGCCAAGCTGTCTCCCAATGCCATATTTTGTGCCAACGAAAACGTTCTGTCAACCCTTGCGCTTTGCACCAGTTACTAGCGTAACAAAGATTGATGACGGGATTGACACGAACGGCTCAGTGCAACCGCTGTAGCGAGCTCTCGCATCGACTGGGACCCATGAAGGCGGGTGACCAAAAGACTTTACAGTGTAATGGTATGCGAGGGGCGTTGCACATTGACTACTCAATGATGTGGACAAAATGCTAATATTGATGATGATCAACACAAGTGGAGGCTGGAACCGGCTTGAACTGACCCAAACATTCAAGGATGACTCGGGTCGCTAGTTCTTGAAGCCTGAAGTTTCGACTCTTGCTGTAGTCCACCAACATCAACCAAAGGAACTTGAATCTAGAAACCCTTCAAGATTGTACACGATAGATAGGTGCAGTCACCGTACATTTGTGTTTCTTTGCGCGCCCACTTTTTCATTTCTGTCCCACCATTGAGTCTGGAGATGATGTGCTTTTATTAGGTATCGTGAGCTAGGCGTAAGAGACGTGCGGGTAAAGAGAGCAGTATTTGACACACAAAAGATACAAAGTGAGTAAACCATACTAAGGCTATTCCTTTCGTATCTTTTGCGCGCAACGTAGTTGCTGTTATGTGGTGATTTGATCACTTGCCAATGCAAATGTAAGTTTCCTTGTTCAAAATGCATTGTAGGCTGCAGAGCGAGCTCCTTCAGAAGGATGTACAGTACTTGAGCAAGTGGTGGTTGACGTGACAAGTCTGGTTGGCTTGGTTTGAATCCGGAGTTAAATAGGTCGCAAACAAACAACCTCAAACGGACCTCATCGTGATGGACAGCGACGAAGGATCTGAGCTCTATGCCTCAGACGTCGAGCACAACTATGCCACCAACATTTTCAAAGAATCTGAAACTGACGGTCTGATCGATTCTTACCAGCCGTCTTTTGATGCTTATTTTACGCACGCTTCATCACGCACGCGCACATCCACCAATGTCTTTTCACAGCGTGTCGTGCCCCTCAGCCCTGAGGAGCACAATGCTGCTCTCGCACGAGCTTCCGTACATGCTTGTACGCCACAAGTTCCTTTTGATAATTCCAGTTTCAAGAGATGGGCTCGCGAGCTCGACGAAGGCTTCAATATATTGTTCTATGGACTGGGTTCGAAGCGCGGTATCCTCAACGATTTCGCAAAACATGTGTCGAAACTTGGACATGTCGTTGTAGTCAACGCCTTTCACCCTTCGGTAACCGTGCGCGACATGCTTGTGTCCATTGCACGCGTCCCAGGCGTACAATCCACCTCTACATCTGCTCCTACCCTGGAACGCGTAGCGGAGCACTTTGCAAGTTCAGACAGCCCCCATCTGTTCCTCATAGTTCATTCCCTCGACCGCTCTCCAAAACTTGCGCGTGCTATTTCTTCACTCGCACTCAGCCCCCACATTCACATTGCCGCGTCTATCGACAGGCTTAACGCGCCACTGCTCTTCAGCGCGTCTCAGCTCGCAGCTAGGAAAGGTTCTTTCTTTTCTTCGGATCGTCCTACAACAAACGTGGGGTACAGCTGGCTCTGGCACGACCTGACCACTCTTGCACCATACACCACCGAACTCACGTTCGCTGACCGTACCTCCATTTCTGGCGCCTCATCATCCCGTGCACGCGTTGATATTACCAACCCTGTCTCTGGCCCGATGACAGAAACGGCAGCAATGCATGTCCTCGCAGCGGTGACCGCTAAAGCCAAGAAACTGTTTTCCTTGCTCGCTGCAAAACAACTCGAGAACGCCAACTCTTCTGACGTCTCGGAGGTCAACTCCGCACATAACCCTCATGACCAGCAGCATTTTGGCCTGACATACGATGCTCTCTTTACTTTGGCGCGGGACGCGTTCATTGCTACAAATGATACTGCACTTAGAGCTCTGCTTGGCGAATTCAGGGACCACGGACTTGTGGTGAGCGCAGCACAGCCTGGTACTAGTGGAAGTGAGGTGTTGTGGATACCTCTGAGGAAGGAGAGGCTGTCAAAGCTAGTTGAGAACCTGGATAAGGACGCAACATGATCGTGCGCCCGTATTGCTAATTATTTAGAACACATGTTCTCGTGCTGTCTCCGTGAAGAGCTACCGCTGAGTGTATAGGAGGCTCTAGGACAGAAAATACAACATTTTGTTATTTCATACAAATATGGAAGCAATCGGACCAAATAGCATCAATTCCGTCGGAAGCACAGGCGCGCACTGATCGAACGACTCAAACAGAACCACCATTTACTGCGCGTTTCATCGCGTTCAAACTTCTCCACAATGTCGACAACGACAAAAGACGAGTCAGAGCCTGTGGCAGACTTGAATCCGCGCTCGACGACCTATGAGTTCCTGGGCCCACCGGGTGCCTTTCTCATCTCATTCGGCGTCCCTTTCATGACGTATCTCCTATACTTTGGTTGTTCAGAAGAATCTGGCGGCTGCCCTCCTCCTTTACAATCTATTCCAGACCGGTTCGTGGAAGCATTGAGTGACAAGACATTTTGGGCAAGTCTGTGGGATACCGAGGCCAGTTTGATTTACTTGGGATGGTACGCGTTTTGCGTTGTTGCATGGGCGGTGCTGCCGGGAGATTTGGTTGAAGGAGTGACCATGCGTACTGGGGAGAAAAAGAAGTACAAAATCAATGGTTCGTGTCTGGTCATAGCGGCGAGCATTGGCGCTGATGCTGTTGTTATGCAGCTTTTTCGACGTTCCTTTTTGCAATGGGCATTTCCTGTGGCTATATCGTTCGCAACGGTCCCGAGTCCTTCACCTTCTTGTATCAAAAATGGATAGGATTTGTGACTGCTTCGTTGGTTATGTCCTTGGTGCAAGCCTTCTATGTGTATGCAAGTTCGTACCGCACGGGCGCTCTCCTCGCGCTTGGTGGCAACTCGGGAAATTTCATTTATGATGTACGTTAAGTTCGCTTGTTAGTGCCGTTTATGACTCAAGTGACCTATTTAGTGGTACATTGGCCGCGAGTTGAACCCCTCCATTGGTTCTTTTGACATCAAGTCCTTCAATGAGCTCCGCCCTGGCCTCATCCTCTGGGTGTTGGTGAACATGAGCATGGTCTGCGAGCAAGCTGCACGTCGCGGAGGTTTCGCAAACGTGACCGACTCGATATGGGTTGTACTCGCATTCCAGACTTGGTATGTCGCTGATGGACTGTATAACGAGGTTGGTCTCCCCAATTCTACATGATTGAGTTTGTACTAATCCACTGTGCAGCCCGCCATTTTGACGACGATGGACATCACAACCGATGGTTTTGGGTTCATGCTTGCTGTTGGAGACCTCACCTGGGTGCCTTTTGTGTACTCGCTGCAGGCACGCTACCTTGTGTTCAAACCCGTCGAACTTGGACTCCTTCGTACTGCTGGAATACTTGCGTTCAACCTCCTTGGGTATTATGTCTTCCGTGATGCCAATGGAGAGAAGAATGATTTCAGAAACGGACGCAACCCCAAAAGTGATTTTTTTTCTCTTTCACAGATGCCTTTATCAGTATTGATTTACTGCTGTTTAGATTTGAAATATTTCACGACGTCTACCGGCTCGAAGCTTCTCACTTCAGGATGGTGGGGTCGATCAAGACATCCCAATTACTTGTAAGTTCCTCTTTTTTCCCGTGTTCTTGAGATTTGATTCGTGTTGTGCAGCGGCGACCTGCTGATGGCATTTGCATGGTCGCTTCCCACTGGGTTCGATACGCCAATTACATACTTCTATGTTGTGTACTTCGCGGTACTGCTCATCCACAGGCAGCGCCGTGATGATGAAAATTGTGAGAAAAAGTGAGTCGGTCGTTTCCTCTATGGTCGATGTATACTGACCAGTTAACACCAGGTACGGTAAGGATTGGGAGACGTACAAGAAGCTGGTACCATACCGTATTATTCCATATGTTTACTAGGAACGATAAATCGCTACTCACTCTATGGACGATCAACTTTGGAGAACGTTAATGTATTATGTTCTGCTGTCCAGTATTAATTTTTATCATGCAAACGACAGCTGACCGGTTTGCACCAAGGTTGGGGATGTAAGACCTGCGACTGGTGATGTATAACGATGTGTATCATTAGCGCTACAAATGCTGGAAAGTCCATTTCCCTGAGGGTGAGCCGCTTTTACATAAACGATTGCGGGATCAATTGCATAATTAAAATTGGCTCTTCCGAGTCGGAGAGCGCCAAGTTCATGGACCGGATCGTGTCAGGCCTGTGGCTCAGGGACATTGGAAGCACCCGAGGAGATTAGGGTGAACAGTCATGCTATTTTGGGACGCCTTCAATATCATCCGACATATCGGTGTTGATACTCAGTCTATTCCTCGACAACTCCCGTTTCGATTACATCGTTGGTGCGTATTTTCGACAACCTCATTCTACTACACACTAGACCGATTTGCCACCTTCTTTTCAGGGAAGATAGGGAATTCAAGACCGTTAACTTTTAACTATGTCTTCTCGTGCAAAACATCCACGCTGTCACGCTTGCTTGCACTTCTGGGAGGCCCACTCCATCGCGCTGTTTACCCAGGCGCTCTTCCGATACTTCTCCCGTGTTCTTACTTCGAAGCGATTTCCAGCCCAAGAGACTCGAGCTACTCCGACGATGTCATCAATTTTCAGACGGTATATTGCCTTCCTTGAAGTTCCTGCATAATGCCACTCATGGACACGCAGACAGACGAGAAAGGACGTGATTTGATATTTGAATGCATCCTTGTCTTGGCGGTCAGAGAGGAAACTTGCCTCCCCATCGTGACGTCCAGGGACATCACAACTGACGGTTTGGGGCTTATGCTTACTGTTTGGGACCTCAGTTGGTTGCCTTTTTGTGTATTCGCTACAGGTACGCTACCTTATACTCAAGTCCGTGCTCAAGCGTGCGTCAATCCCGACGTCACGGGACCTCAAGGCCTCACAGCTTGCCTTCAGTGCGCCTTCCCCATCTCCGTGAAACATTTAGACGAATTCAACGACATCATGTTGGACGCCCTACCTGGCGATTACGGTAAACATCAATACAAGCTAAGAACAAAAATTCAGTTTCGACATTCTCAAAGGAGCAGAGCAGCCTCCTCCAAACGCACCCGAGCAAACTCCAGACTACCTCGCGATGTTGACACGTCCAAACACGCCTCCCCACTGATCTGAAAGTCAATGCCGTATGCGCAATACAACGAAGCATGCCCGTCGAAACCGGATTAGTACGAAATGCTCAAGTGCGCACCTCTGCAGATTCGTCGAGGTTCAGATTCCTCATACTGGAGAGATACATTGCCTGCCTCAAATCACCTTCTCTTTCAGTCCAGCATGTTCAAGCTGGACCGTGAATCGCAAACAGTTTCCCCTGCAGTCTGCTTATGCGACGACGTTCAAGGGATCTGAAGGGCTGACGCTCGAAAAGGCCTCACTTGACCTGCACACGGGATTCGTTCGCATAGCTACACACCAGCACTTTCAAGAGTACGATGTGGCCGAGACATTCGAGCGCTATTTCCGAGTCTAAGAGAAGAGGAAAAGACTACCACAAGTGTACAGACGTACAGACATCTCTTATTATAATTCACGATAGAAAACGTCTGAAGGTGAACGGACCGCTTGTATGATTTTAGCAGCACAAAAACGCACATCTATAAAAATATTTGAAGTACATGTGTGCATTCATATGAGTCCGGCTTCGTCTGGCCCAAAAATCACTGGCGTGATCTGACAGGTTGGGCTAGACCGAGCGTTAGCTCGAGGTGGGACACAAGCAGGCTGAGCAGCTCTAGAGGGATGGATAACTGCTTACAAATTCGACCATATCGAACGACTCTTTGAGTAGCCACGAGACGATTATGCATTATATAAAAACTTCAATAAGAACAATCGATTAGGAGAAACTATGTATGAACTGAGGGTGCGAAGACGAAAAAAGGAGTGGCTGTACGACGAACGCACGTGATAGAGGGAGAAAACGAATGTAGGAAGCGAACAGCGCGTTCGCTCAGCTGGACTCGTGGTGCCAGTTCATTCCGGCAGGCTACATCACCTGGCACCTATACAAGCACCGGAGTGAGCCACGTGATTTTCGGCTGACGGAGCTCGACAATCTAATGTGTGAATGAGTACAGAGTGTCAGAAATTTGATGGCACTACAATCTAATGGCGAAGAAACTGAGTGAATGAAGGTTCCGGTATGCGCGTGAATAACGGTGAAAGTGATTAACCATAGCATAATTATGGTCGAGCTGAAGCGACGGTTATTAGAGCATCTCTACGGTCAAGTTGCGTGTCGACTTACCTAGTTGCTCTTTGCGGTAGAACCAGAAGTAACCTAGTACAATGACAATCTGGCAGGTCAGCGCCAGCCAAAATGGAGGGGAGGCCATCGGGCTGCCCTTGATACCATGCGAGAAGTCCCATGTTCCGACATTAGGGAATACGCTCCCTGGACCGATGCGGTTTGGTGCGGTTGCGCGGGCGGCCATAACACAGATAGACCCAATGACCTGAGCGAGAGCGAGCGTGGAACAGACGTGCAATCTTGACAACGTCTGCAGGAGAATCATTCCCAAGCCCACACCCTGTACAGCATCCAAAACACCGAGCCAAAGCCACAGAGAAAGACCGAGGTATGGTCCCCCTGAGCCAGCCCACGGGATATAGAGCGCGAGAGACGAGGTGCCCCATAATGTCTGCGACACATGTTAGATGGCTGAAGATTGATGCAACATTGACCAGATCATACCTGACACCATCTTGGAGCACCAAGGCCGACAGCGAACACGGGCAACAACCAAGTATGCGTCTTACTCAAAGACGTGAGGATATAGAGCATGAGAGCCCAGACACCGACGAAAAAGAAGATTGTGAGAAGCAAGATCGCCCACTTGGGGATCGGAACATTCCACAGGAAACTCCAGTTGCGACCGTAGGGCTGCAATAAGGTCAGAACATAAGGATATCAATGCATCAGGCCTAACATACACCGCTGAGCCAATAATCACGTAAGATTTCAGATGCGAGGAACCTTGCGTGGAGTATCAGCGTCATCGACTTGGCCGCGAGCAAGAAAAGCCTAACCAAATAACTAGCTTCCTTCGGAAGAGAGTTTTGAGGAAGTTTGGAACTTTCGGAGGAGTTTGTTGGTAGTACTCTGTTTTGTAGTTGATATTATTGTCCTGCTTGAGAATTCAGATGGGACTTACCTGGCAGTCCGTGCAGCATCAAGTATGCAAACGCAAACGACATTATTGAGAGCGGCCACAAGATAAAGACAATCCACCAAGGCGTAACGGACCCAGGCGTCGCGGTATTCAGTGTGCTACCCCAGTACCATAGGGCAGCGACCCAGATCTGTTGAGAACCTTGTACAATGCAAGAGCGCAGTATCCAGACTTCAGTAGGGGCAGCCTAAAGAACATACATCAGCTGCATACAAATGGACCCCCCAAACATGACGCACCGCTTCTTCTCCAAAGTTCAAGCCGAAAAAGATGAAAGCAGCAGCAGAAGCGACAGCATATGACCAAGTGGCAATGTCCGATACGATGGTATGAGTTCCTTGAAGTTTCGGTGATAACGAGGGAATGCCAATCAAAAAGAATGCTATGCCATAGAAGAGCCAGGGAGCAGAAAGAACGTAGACAGAAGGCTTCAAGCGGAACATGGTATACCAAACAAAAGATGAAACCAAGAATACAGCACCGAGAAAATATAGCTGGATGTCGTTCTGGTAGTTTTGGCCAGTGAGCAAAGTCATCTGGTAGCTGTTTGCAGCAAGCATCTCGAGAACAAACGTGAGCTCATGGATGAAGATTAAGAATCAAAGGTCTTACCTGGCCAAGAGCAATGATGATAGTATACAACGGCCAGCCTCCAATTCGTCGAGCCAGCATGGTCTGGATAGACTCCCGGTGCGAGGAAATGTGACTGGTTGCACTGGACAGTTTGTCTCGTCTCACACGTTCGAAGAAAGCCTCCTCAGACTTGACGAGGTACTTCTCAATAGAGAGTTCGCCCTTGGAGTTATGCGAGTTCAACGCTTGCAGCTTTTGCACAAACTCTGAGGCAACGCCGCCATCAGAGTCCGTGAACTAAAAAGTGAATGAGATGATAGCGGTCGCCAAAATTCCCGAGAGACGCACCGTCGTAATAGCTTTGTTCAGCGGTGAGCTGGTCTTTTCTTTCATGATGCTACCAATGTCACTGTACCCGGACCGACTACTAGTCGCCAAACTATGCCACGAGCGTTTCTTATCCAACGTGTATGAGGAGTTGAAGTTGAGACCAGACGGTACTGACAGAAAGCTCTCATCGTGGGACGTTGAAACCTGGCTTCCAGGAGAACTAAGCATCAATCTTGGGGATGACATGGCGCTCTGTGCATCCCAGTCAGGTTGACCAGGCAGTCCTTGATTGACAGGGTTCCAATCTTCTGCCTCCGGAACCGCATGCTGAGAGGGCTCAGTCCCGCAGTCCGCCTCCCGCCAAGCGTTTGAACCAGCTAGCTTTCGGCTGATGTTTATACTCCGTCGGTGCATGTCCTCCATCCGCTGACGCCATTCGATGACTGGGAAACGCTGAACAGCTGACCGAGCACGAAGCATGGCTCTTTCTTCCTCTGTGGATTTTAACGCCAGCTTGATCGTCTTCGAAAGCTGAGACAACATATGGTCTGTTGAGGTAGATTCCACAGGGAACCACTACCAAGAATCTTGTCAGATCGTGCCCCAAGAAGACGACCCTGAGCACTCACCCATCCAGGCATCAACCCAAGACCACCGAGTCGACTACCAACACCAAGAGCACCTTTCCTCCCAAATTCGACAGCGACCAATCCGAACGGTTCATCACGAGAAGGAATCAGAGCAAAATCAGCACCACTAAACAAATAAGGCGGTAACGCAGTAAACTCCAGTTTCGAGTAAACACGATCAGGGTACATCTCCATCAACCGAGTAAGTTTCTCCGCAGCGAACCGACCATAAAGATCAATGACAGGTCCGACGCAAATCAGCTGTATCGAAGGGCATTTCTCAAGGCTGCGAGACAGGTTTCATCAGAGCCGAGTCCTACAAAATCTAAAAACAGACTCACAGCGATGGCATAACGTCCGCGATCAGGTCAACGCCCTTCTGCTTCGACCACCGACCAACGAACACAAACAGGTCAGAGTCAGGATCTTGCTTGATGTTCGCCCATTCCTGCGCCTGCCTCTTCATCTCCGGACGCTGCGCCTCAACAACCTGATCGATCTGCACTTCACGAATAGCCACCGGGTTCTCATCCAAAGCCGCGATATCCGTAGGGTCAGGATTAGGCAGCGAATCGACATACTTGAGGGTCCACAGAGCAGGATACCGCACCCAACTGCGCTTCCCATACTTGTCCGAGACTCCAGCGACACCGATGCTCTTTTGATGAACGCTGATAAACGATGCAGCAGCGTGAAGCAGGTTAAACGTGTTTCCGAACTGGACGTATTTCGTGCAGTGCTCTTTGCTGATGTTGAACGCGGAGCAGACTTCTTTCATCTCTTCTTTTGTTCGAAGCGGCCATAGACCCTGGAACTCGGCATTGTGCAGCGAGAGACAAACGGGTACTACTTTGGGTAGAAGGTAAATCGGAGCAAGCGCGCCGTGATAGTCGTTGATGTGGTATATGTCGACGACGGGGAATCGGCGGATGGTGGTCGCGATGGCCTGGTTCCATGTAGAGTAGAAGATGGCGGAACTGAGATCGTCCATGCGGGCTGGGTACGGGTCTGATTGGGTCTGTGCACGGAAAACGGGGCTGTCGAGGATGACATAGGTGATATTGTCCAACACGTGCGTCTCCACTTCGATACGATAAGGCTCATTGAAGATGATAACTTCGATAGGCTCTGCAGGTTCACCAGCGGGATAATCCAGGTCCTTGACTTTTGGAATGACCCAGATCAAGTCAACGTCCGTCATAGCTTTTCCCATGAGCGATGACATCACACCGAGACCTCCGATCTTGACCTTGAGTTTCCAGTCAATGATCTCATACTCCAGCGTCGCGATGAGGACTTTGCGCCGCGTATTTTTATCCTCTGGCCATCCTACGATCTCCGCATTCGGCTTGTGCCCAAAGACTTTTTCCGCGATGGGCGTCACGCTCTCTTTGAAGTCTGCGGTCGACTTATTGAGCAATCTGATGATAGGGAAATACTTGCTTGCGCCTGAATTCGTCTGCACACCGTACAGATTGTGGCGGATGCCGTAGAAAGAGTACATGAAAATGACGACTGCGAGAACTCCGGTAATGAGGGAGAGAGTGCAGAGAAGCCCGTACATGGTAGCGCTGACAGAAGCATGGCCACGAGGCTCAAGAGTCCACTCCAACGTGGCATCATCAACGATGAGTGCCCATGCGAGTGAAGGATATGGGGGTGCTGACAAGTTCAAGTAGTTCAGCGCAATGCTGTTTGGTGGTAGCCGATCCATAACGCCGTCCGCGTCGACGTCACCGTAGTAGTAATCATCGTACCCAAACACGTTGAGTTGCAGGTACGTTGGCCACGCAGCCATGATTTCGAGCTCCCAAGTGCCATCGCTGACTAGGTTCATCGCATTGGAGATACCCTGGTCATAACCCCAGTCGTTGAAAGGACCTCGAGCGAGGAACTGGGGAACGCGACGCTGCTGCTTGTAGTCCAAATCTGCATGCACGACGACGCTGGACGTAGTCGCGACACCACTCCAATCTACCGCAACGTCAACACCAGAAAAAGCAGCAGCAACTACGAGCACTCACATTGCACTATGAGATGTTGTCCCGTCCAGAAAGTATCAGAATTGCTGAGGACATCAGCGGGTATGATCGTAACGTTCTCCCAATTCGTCCAGTTAGACCAACTCAGTGTGAAGTCGCCTGAGTACCTGAACATATCCGCTCCATAGGCACGGTGCGTGAATGTGTACTGGCCGTCAGTGTAGTTGAAATCTGTGTTATCATAATCGGACTCGGGGAACACCATGACATTGTTCGCTTCGCCCTTGCGCAGCAGCAGATGATCTATGCTCTACAAACCATGAGAAAACATGACAGAATACAGAAAAAAACAGACATACCCCAGTAGACAGCATCCCATCGAACGATGTTGGATTGTTAACAATAATCTCCAAAATCCCATCCGAAACATCGGTCAGTGTACCAGACCACGACCACTGCGAGTACGGAGTTCCCACAACGGACGACATGGTGGGATTCGTGACAGCATTGCACACCACCGAAGTCAGGTTGAGCGTAGGCTGCCCACCGATGCCAGAAGACGACATGTTGAACGATAAACTCTGCGTGACGCTATCGCACGACATTGCCACATTGAACTCTAGCACGAGGTTCACAATCGTGGCGTTTGGCTCCCCCCGCATGACTTCGATGCGTGCGTCATGCCCAGGCAGGAACTTGGTGAGCATAGGGGGGGCAGGGACCCACTCGCTGATAGGGACCAAAGCCTTGAAGCCGAACGCGTCCATCTCCACCGTCTGCAGACACCCATACCACGGTCCCCCTCCGTTATTATGATACGATGACCCCGAGTCTACGAGCGTATAATTCTCGTACGGAGAAAGCAAGTTCCTCACCGTCGTCCCACCAACATAGGGTGACGATATCCACAGCGGACCGCTGCAATCGTACGAAAACGACTGTGAGTTGTTCTGATTGGAGTACAATAGCCAGACCTGATCGGTGCGCTCCCCTGTCAGGTTTTGTACGTTCGGCATACCTGCACGTGATGCGGACCAGAGGCCCAATTCGGTGACGATGTTGTTTGAACCTGGTAACTCGACGAAGTCGGTCCAGTTTCCAAGCTGTACGAGTTCGAAGCCGTCTTGGAGGGCGTTGTAGGTGGTTCGGAGGTACAAAAAATGTTTCAGGAGGCGACGCATGTCCGTCGTCGGATCAAAATGATCGAGCGAGTTCCAATCGTCGTCACATCCCTTTAAGGCGGACTCAAGCGGCATGTTGGAGTATTGGACGGATCCAACTTTGTAGCACCCGTGGCGCTGCCAAGCCTTGTTGCTCATCATAGCTTGACGGCTGAAAGTAGCAGTATGAGAAAAGCAATCACTTAAAGCAGTTGGTGACCCACCCAAAGAGATAGTTTGAGGCTGTGGAGTCATATAGATAGAAATTCTGCTCCTCGCCATAGTAGACCTGTAAAAGGTAAGTACTGCAGCGACAAACATTCAAGTATAACTCCTACCAATGGAACCCCTGGCATGACCAGGTGTGTGATATAAGACGCCAATGCGGATCTCAATGTCCCATTCGACAAACTGGGCCAACGGAAAACATCGAAATTGCTTGTGCCGAATAAATGCTTCGGATCGGCGAGGCCGGTGTTTGGATTCAAGAAGTCGTCGGTCACGAGCATCTGATTCCAAGCGGTGATTAAGTTGGTATTGTGATCCACTTTGTCATCCAGTCCAAGGAAACGGATGAGGGAGCCGTATATCGCGTAATGGAACGCGTAGCCGTCGAGGCTATTCGACGACTGTGGGCGCAAGAAATACTGGTTTTCGGATTCTGTCGAGTTGGCGAGGAATCCGGGGGGCAGCATAGTCGGGGTACGGCCACGTCCGCTATGAAGGAGATCAATTGGTGCCGGTGGTGAGTGAAATAGCGACTGACAGGTATAGGGACCCAAAGGTGTCACCGCCAGTGACTTCACCGGTGATATAAAAGTTCTTCTTTCCAAGATCGGTGGCGCAAGCACGAGTTGCAGATGCCCAAGCGGTTAGGCCATCGACGGTGATCTCCGTGGACTTGTCGACACGAATGGCATCGATATCAAGGGCTGTGATGGCCATGCAGGAAAAGGTAGTGAGTTTGTCCATAACGGAAGGCTTCCATTCGCGGAGACGGTCCTGTACAGATGCAAACTTAGAAAGTTGACGCTGCCAGGCAGGGTGAACACCAAAGGCGTCCATGTCACCATATTGGTCAAAGTCGGACTCGTAACAACCATCATATCCCGTCGCAGGCAGGATTGTTCCATCCTCTTGCCAAAACACGGGAAGTTGGCAAGAATGGTTACGCTCATTAATGACCTAGGAAAAAAAGTTAGTTGAGGGGGGTTCAGGCACGAGGTGAACGGAAATAATTACTGACGGAAAAATCAACATACTGCTCGAAACCCCAGGGGAGGTGCTTTGGGTTTTTGTACATTGCAGGATATTCAGTGAGACTGAATGGGGCGCTTGCATTGATATAACTGGTGTGAGTGAGTGAGCGAGTAATTGTAGTTGGTGAATAGGGTGAACAAACCCTTCAGAGCCGAGAAGGTCGGACATGGTTCCGACTGTGAAATCCAACATGATATACATGCCGCGTTCGTGTAGGATGTCGATGAAGTTTACCCAATCATCAATAGTACCCCAATGAGGATCCAACACGGAGAAGTCGAGAGGAGAATAACCTGAAGGAAGTGAGTGTGAGTTGTAAATAAGATTGAGATAAGGACATACTATCGGCTTGCCATATCATGTTCAAGAATATTGTACCTGAGAGATATATGGCCTTGATGCCCATTCCTTGGATGTAGTCCAGTTTTGATGTTAGACCTTTGAGGTCACCACCGAAACGAAGTTGGGTTTCTCTCCAATCCCATTCGTATGGGGAGTTAAAGAACTGATTATTTGAAGGGTCACCGTCAGCAAACTTGTCCATAAGGACGGTGTACATTGGGATTGAACGCCAGTTTTGTGGAGAAGGAGTGTAGGTTGTGTTTGATCTTGTGGTTGAATAATCTATAGGAGACTGGGCGGATTGGTTTACATTGAGATTGTAAGGTGTCAGGTCTGGACGATAAGGGGAAGCGTATATAAATGAAGAGAAGCATAGTGATGAAGCAAGGGCGGTTATGAACCGCATCTTGGACCACTTTGAGAAAGGAATGGTAGAAAAAATGATTGACAGGGATGGTGGTTTCTAGTCGGGGGTTCCAGGGAGAGACAGTAATCGTAGAAAAGAAGGGGGAAACTGCATTATACATTGGAAATCTGCCGAAGAACGGCGAGAGACACTAAAGCCAATAAGGCAGATATTAGCGAGACAAAACCATGGATTTTTGGGACACACGAAGGAGTTGAATGCAGTACTATAGGTAAGAGACCCTGCTCAGGGATGAAAGAATAACCGTGCGACGTAATGCTGTAAGCAACACCCGAAGAACTTCGTCTGGCGTTATATTCTTGTGGTGCACCAGGGCAGTCTTCGACGTCATGACCAGGTAGCCAAAGGTTCGCCTCAGGCCCGCATCCGCCAACACACAAGGTATTGAAAACCGCAACCACGCATCCGACAGTCGAGAGGGTGCTTTATCTCCCATGCTTCGGCTCCGCTATTAGTGATGTATAGCGCTCCAGGCCTGTCACGGTCACCTCCGGTTTCTGGTGTCACCTCGGAACGTTGTAGTTCGCCTGAAGGATACATCTCGATCCAGGTACGCTTGAGTTCTGACACGTGAAAAGTGAGGTGTATGCGATAGTACTAGTTCAAGAGTTAGTGCCGTATCCCCACCTCTGGCACGAGCAAACTGAGAAATTTTGAAAGCTATTCAAACCACCAAAATACCATAACTTATTTCTTGGCTAGTTTGAACCATTTGTGACAAATCAACCGAAGTTTTGTTTCATTAATTTGTCACTGAAAAAAAATCACTTCCTTCAAAAGTCCCGAGGACGGACTTCAAGTTGTACCGCGCAACATACCTTATTCGTATCATAACGCCGTGTAATACTAACCGGTCGATTCCCGACTCTACCGACCTAAAACTCCGTTGACCACGTTAGCACAAGGTATTGAAAACCGCAACCACGCATCCGACGGTCGAGAATGTGCTTTATCTCCCATGCTTCGGCTCCGCTATTAGTGATGTACAACGTTCCGGGCCTGTCCCCGGGAACGTTGTAGCTCGCCTGAAGGATACATCTCGATCCAGGTACGCTTGAGCTCTGACACGTGGAAAGTGAGGTGTATGTTAGTATACGATGATAGCTCAAGAGTTATTGCCGTATCCTTACCTCTGGCACGAGTATCGAGCAAGCTGAGAAATTTTGGAAGTTGCCTTTTTGTCCACCAAAATACTTCTTGGTTAGACTGTACCATTTGTGACAAATCAACCGAGGTTTTTTTCATTATGTAATTTGTCACTGAAAAAAAATCACTTGCCCGAGGACAGGCTTCCAATCATACCGCGCAACATACCTTATTCACATCGTAACGTAATGCCGTGTAACGCCAATTCCCGATTCCACCGACTTAAAAGTTGAAGATCACATGTGGTCAGAGTCTAGCGGTAAATTCACTTCATTATTTGATTCTCACATATTAATATTGGCTAAGTACTACATCACGTTAGTGCCGTGCAGGAATATGATATTTGCAAATGAAATTCCCCTACCTCAGTGTCCCAACGCTTCGTCTCTGCAGATCTGAATTGCCACTGCCAAGCTCTAGTGGCACATTTCCGCCATTGTCCTATCTGTGCCCACAGGACCGCTGCCAGGATGGATTGTGAGGTGCGAGCAGACTTTGCCGAGAACAATGCACATACTTCAAGGACGTGGAGGCAAATAGCGGCGACGAAGCTGATTTTGGTGCGGCGGACGACAGAAAGACCTAGAACACGTGAGATAAAATGAGATACAGGAGAAGCCACTACAATTTCCAGGTGGGTGCTACTTGTCTCTTCACTTGAAGAGAGCAAGAGGGATACTGTTCAAACTAAGGGAAAGTGGATAAATGATAGAACAGTGGCAATAACTAAAATCAGCCAGCGACAGCGACACGTCACGGTGGCTCACTACAGAGCCAAGCACAGAATGCCTGAGTAGCAAATATCATAAGATGATACCGAGAGCATGTAATATGCAGGGTAATCGTGAACAGTCCTAGTCCACCACACGGGGGACGTGCGAAGGTGCCTTGACCAAATATGCATAGGTGGACAAAAAGTACGAGGGAGCTCAAATGGAGGGGAAGAACTTCGAAGAAGGAAACAACCAGCGAGTGAGCAAGAGACAAAGCTGACATAATATTCCCACAGATGTTAGGACCGTCTAGTCACTCCAGTGGTCGACTCGAGAAATCCTAGTCCACCTCGCACCCCTCCAGTACTACCCTCCCGTAACCCTCCCGTATCTGTCGCTATACCTGTCGCGCCTCTAGAAACCCTCTCACGACACCTCTCGTGGACCGCCAGACTCGACATGTCTCATACCTCCAGCATCTCCCTCGCGTGCTTCGTTTCCATGAACTTTGCGTTGGAGCCTTGTTGATACCTTCTTCATGATGGTATACCTTGTCTCCACGATGTCTTCCTCGACACTTGCCACTCACAAAGCACCATGTTAGTTCATGATGGCAGGATGTTGAGGTGACTATATGCGCTTGGCCTCCTCCTTGTACGTCTCGTACCGACAATATTACCCTCACTTAGCATTAGCAGATGCCCATGAGCCATATGCTACCCGGCTCGAAGACACCAAGAGCGTGGAAATGAACTGCATCGATGGGCAATTGTACACCTTGTACTGGCTGTTATGGCCTGTTACATGGTTTGCATAGCTACGTTTCTTTTGTCGATGTAGCTGCTACCCGCCCAAGGAAACCAAGTGCCTAGCCAGACGGTATGAAGAGAGGGTTGTATGCTAATATACTATTGCCAGAATTTGCGATCCATATATTGTCCTCACGATTTTGAGATGCGTGTTGATTGCTTATCGATATATCAACGACTGACGCGTAAAGTACATGCTCAAGATTAATCCTGCGAAGACACCCACTGATCACAGACGTGATCGAGGACTTTTCCACGATGATTGACTTCCAATACCCAACTCATCAGCAATGATCATCGCAGCCTTCTCCCCAATGAGAAGCGCTGTCCAATATGTGTTCTAGAGAGACGGTTAGACTGCACATCGATGATTCCCGACCAGTACCCACCGTGCCAACATTTATCGGCGCAATAGACATGTCCGCCACCTTGAGGTTTGTCACGCCATACACGTTTAGCCTAGCGTCAATGACTCCTTGATCTGCCCTTGGCTTCATGGCGCAAGTTCCGAGCTAGACATGTAAAGTTCAGGTACCTCATGTAAAAGCATGAAAGTTTTAGCTATACATACCGAATGCCATGTCGTTTGCACTGAGTATCAATTCAGTATCTTGACATAACGATAGGGATGCAACATACCGTGGTCACGAATGTATCGATCGATCGCATCATCGTCTTCCGCTGTGTAGATTATGTCAGGCGCATTCAAGTCCACCGGCCCGGTTGTTTCTCCGCAGACTGCAGCGCTTCCCTGTGGGAAATCAGGGTGGCCTATGGGGACTTCACCTCTGTATGAAGACATGCGTCGAATGATTTCGCGCAGCTTTTTGTACCCGAAGATAAGAGGTGCAATATCGGATGGACTGTGAGGATTATCGTAGTCACATCAGTGAGTTGAAATTTCCGACTTACTCATCCAGGAAGCCTGCGTTGAAGTCGAGTCCTTCTTGGCCGTTCTCGTCCAATTTCATATGAACGCTGCCAGCAGACACGGGGTACAGCTATTGGAAAATTCAGAACAAAAATCACGGGGTAGTAAATGTGAAAGTAGTACTGTAAAATAGTTGGCAGCCATGTAACTGCGACGAGGAAGGATGTGCGAGAACCCACCGGCTCTGGTTATCGTGAGTATTCGTGCGTCATCAAACGAAAATAATGTGCTCACCCTGCACACATAGAAAATAGTGCAACAGGTTTGTCTGGGCGATCCTGGAAGAACTCTTTCCATCGTGGTTGAAAGGCTGGACCCATGGCTTTCAGCTCGTCGTCATCAGGACGCCATTTTATTTTTGCATCGCTGCCACTGAAATGCTAATCAATACGTCACCAGTATTGAAGGTTTTGCACCAACTTTTGGGCAACAAGTGACTTGCCATCAATGTTCCATTGTGCCAGATTTTCTATAATATTTGGGTAGTTAAATGGACTCGGAATATGGCGAGAACATGCTTACTCTGGACAATAACGTCACTCTCCTCCCCAAGATAGATGGGGTCCATAGTAACAATTCCCTCGTCAGCAAAGTATGGAGTAAAGACGAGGTTGTGATCTCTTAACCCTAAGTTAACATCATGAGACAAATGGTTGAACGCGGACCTTGATAATTTTCTCCAACGCCAGGCAAGTCCACTAGTTGCTCGATATTGCACCGCTTGAGAATTGCTTCTGCACCGATCCCAGACCTCTCGAGGATGGCCGGCGAACCGAATGCCCCAGCAGAGATAACAACAAGCTTTGATGCTTTCACGATGCTTGATGACTGATCCGCGTCTGGGCAAGACACTGGATCGCTAGTGAACTCGACGCCTACAGCACGCTTATCTCTTTCATTCGAAATACATCAGCAGTCTGGCACAGTTGAAATCCAACTTGAATATGGAACACTCACTGAAATATTACGCGCTTCACGCGCTTGCCAGCCCATATTTGCAAATTTGCATTGTGAGCTTGATTGTAGACATAGTGGTGGGCCGCATCAGAACGCCTTCCAGTTGCCCCAATGTACCTTCTCATCTGTGAGCCCAATTAATAATAGATGATGAGCACAAGCTCACTTCGCCCATGGCTGAAGTGGATCTCGTCAGCGGACTCCACACATGGAGAAAGAAATTCAGGTGGCGCACACTGTATGTGTTGCATGTTTTTAAATCATCAGTGTCTTCAGCATATTGCCTCTTGTGATATGTCGTGCCAACATGGATGAACTCTTCACAGACACCTAGTTTGCATCCACCAGGGGACACCTTGATAGGTCCACCGTACCCGTGGGTTGGGCGATCGGGCTGTACCTCATATGTCTCCAGCTAAGCAA